CGTGATTCACTCATTCTTTGTCAAAGATCGACTCCTTGTGTAAAATGTGTTACCTTGTAACTCCTCTACTTAAAGGGATGAGCATCACTCACTTTTCTAGTTTTAACAAAACCATGAAGAGTGAGTAGTTTCTCATCCAATCTTTAGTAAGAGGTGGTTATCCGGAAGTTAAATTTATGCAATTTGTTTATGCTTAGCTTTAGTCTTTATTTTTTCATAATGTCTTCTCATCATATTGTTGTCTTTATTTTAAGCATGAATAGCTAAATCTCTTAGTTGGCAAAACCAAGAGGAACCTCCACTTGGGTATACCATTTCAACTCATTCTCCTCCCCTCTTTCAGAGTTTAATGGTTCGGTTTGATTGTGTTGAGGGTGGATAACTTGGTGAGTCTTTGATATTCTGTAGGCCTAGTCACGGTTTATGCTTAGATACTCACTAATCTTACCCCTAGCTTCCCACGAATCAATCGTTCATTCATGCTCTATTGGAAGAGGGTTTCGAGTTGAGAAGTATTCCTATTGGAGTGACCTCTTGGATTTGCCAACATTTGTTTCTCATTTTACTAGCATCAAAACAACTTCACCAAACAACTTCCAACAATCAAAGATTTTACACTTTCTTTCTCCCAAAATCACCTTCCCCTCGGTTTACTTCCTTCCCCATGGAAACGACCTTGGAATACCACCAAGTAAAACACGATCCGCGAAAGTCTCCTTGCGCTTGGGGAGCACTTTTGTTCACACATACTCACATTTGAAATCTCATTCATCCACCATTCCGTTGCCCTTTCTTTTGACATCATCCCTAGGAGAGTGACACTCCCCTTTATTCATATACTATACATGCTTAAAGCTGATGTTTATAGGTTAGGAAACAACAAGGAAATTTGTCAAGCAGTAATCCATAACTTACAACTCCCATATAAGACCTAATTCCTAGGTTCTGATACCAAACCTGTAACACCCCAAATTCTCCCTTGAACGATATTACTATCTAAAACTATTCATATGATGAGAGCAACTAAATGAACTTCATAAATAAAGAGAATTTCATTCATCATCCACAATATATACAATATCATCCAAAACAAATGCCCAAGTATGGCAATTACCTCTCAATAATCAACTATTATCTTGCAGTGGAATAACAAAAATATTAGACTTTACATTGTCTCAAAATGAATTTTCTAGTCTAGAACATAAGCGAATATAGTTTTAAACGTCCACCTCGAGATCCACATTCTCATCTATTGGAGCTTTCCAATGTATGGACTCATCAACTTTGAGCTCCTCCCCTAGACCATAATCTGAAAAAGATATTGTTTATAGGGGGTGAGCACTAAGCTTTATAGGAAAATCCTCTCAAACTCGAACAAGGTTTCGAAAGCATATAAAATAGTCGGTTTCATTTTACAAATACCATATATATAGCTTTTGAAAGAAAACAGGGACATTTCAGTGGATCTCAAGTTTTCACAATAACAATAATTAAATGACAAATAAAACCAACTCTGAAAAATAACAATTCCAACAAGTTACCATTTCCACAATAAAACATAACCAACTATTTTCACAATAAAAAATATCCCACAATGTATATCAAATCACAACTTGTATTTGTATCTCTGGTATGATGCATGACATCGCATAAATAAACACATCAAGAATATCCTAGCCCACAAATACACACCCCAATCCTCGCAAGGATATCCAACTTTAGGAAGGGCGTGTACCAACACATTGTGAGTGACGAATCCAACCCAGGAATAGTATACTAACCTTCAGCCTCGATACCACGTAAACAAATAGTGGTTTGGTCCTCGCAAGACACCAACCTCACTACGAGTGGTAGAAAAATTCAAACTCGCACGGAGTAAGAAACGTATATACCCACTCTACGATACCCAGTCAATGGCCACCCGTGGTCATCCAAACATCCACAAGAGATACAATAACCAACCAATTTCTCCAATCCCAAGTAAAATCCAAAATCCCCAAATTTCACATGTATTATTCCAATAGAACAATTTAAGAAATATGCAAGAGATCATCAAAAATACCATTTTTTTTGTTTCATACTGAGCACTAGAGTTTTGAAATCAAGAACAAAGAAAAAATAGAAAAATCTATTTCTCTTGAAAACTAGGGTTTTAATACAAGAAAAGAGATTTCATGGTTGCCCAACCATAGCTTTTTTTTAAAACATGGTAATATTTGCAAGAATATCAAAAATCAAAGATTTTCTAACGTATAAATAGGATTTAGAGTCAAAACATACATAGATATAAACTTTAGCCTCAATGAAAGAGAATAGAAAGAAACCCCTACCTTGCTTCCTTTGATTTTGTGTGAGAACTAGAAGATTTGATCTTCCCCAACTTGAATCCACACTTTAATCTCTTGTTTTTCCCTTTCTTTCTTCCTCTCTAAGCCTCTCTAGTGGTTAGCATTAGTGAAAATGGGAGCAAAATTGGAGAAAGCACCAAAATAGGTCTAGGACGTGAAGCCCCGGCTTGGCCCGTCCAGACGCATGTTTCTTACCGTCCGGATGCGTGTTTCTGCGCCCAACATTCTGTGAAACGCGTCTGGACGAGTGTCTATTCCCGTCCGGACGCGGGTGACAGAATACCCTCAACTTCCTGATTAATTTTGACCTATTTAGAAGCCGATTCAGAAAATATTCGTGAATTTGCCACCTCTCCGAGCATCAGATACCTTAACTTGTGGGGACCTTTTCGCTTTAATCAGAACGAGGGGCACATGTGTTAGAAAACTCAAACCACTACCACCAAGAAACTTCACCATGATCTCAGGAATCAAGAATGACATCACTTTCAGGCTATGGAATGTCCTTTCGAAGTTGGATTTGACCCATTAATCCGACTGCATTGAGAGCCCCTCCCCTACCATCTCCAAAGGACTTGTTCTTCACTCTTGTATATTTCTTCTTGATTTTGTCCAGGATCCCAGAGTAATGATCACATATGAGATTTTTCACTTGCTCCTCTATCTCAGCATTCTCCCTCTTAGCCTTAGCAAGTTTCCATTGAAGCTTGTCAGCTAGAATATCTACCTTAACCTCCTTCTTCAAGAAGACATTTCTACTCTAGAGTCTTTAAGTTGCTTCTCAAGCATTTTAGCCTCGACCCTATCAAACTCGAGTTAACTCTCGAACAACTCTTATCGCTCGACTAGTTCATAAGTAAATTAAGTCCCCTGTAAGAGCATCAATGAATGTTTTTCCTTTCCCTCTATCAACCAAGCGCCAACCTATGAACCAAGTGAAGGAACACAAAGGGAAATAAGTAAAGAAGATAAGAGAGAGAAGAAAGCCCTAAGCTCCTTAGGCAATTGATGCCCTAGCTTCCTAGGCAAAAGAAGTCCAAACTCTTCAAAAACATGCCTTAATTAATTTGATCAATTAAAAGAGGCATGGGGGGACAATTATGGGGACCAAGCACATACTACCGATCAGCACTTGCATGGACCAAGCATGTGCTATCGGTCGGCAATTGCAAGGACCAAGCGCCACTGCCACTCCGCAGCCTCTTGGGTGAGAACCTGCCAGTCGGTACCAGTCCACGAAGGATCCTTACATTAGCCTACTTGCAACCACTAAGCCTCAACTACTCAACTACCTCCTTGCTACTTGAGTTGCTATGAGCTTGCTTGTCCACCTTCACTAGAAGACTCCTACATAGCTAAGGACCAACCAAGGACTTAGAGTCCTAGTCCAACTTTACTCCGAGTATCAAGGGAATAGTGATAAGGCTAACAACACCTCCTAGCAAGCACATCTCTTCCTTCAATCTAGGACTTAGTATCCTAGTGCGATTCTACCTCGAATAACTAGGAGCTAGTGCTAAGGACTAAGAATCTCAACTCCAAACTTCTGGGACCTAGTGATGAGGTTGAGTCAATCAATCTAGAGTTCGAGTTCCTTTGGGACACATCTCCCTACCACTATAAATAAAGGCCTCGGGTATCAAGTAAGGTATTCAATCCTAGCCTATTTATTCAATACTTCTCTCTGACGTGCGATCTAACTTAAGCATCGGAGTCCTTTTGACAACCTCTGACCATCGGTTCACCTAGATGTTCTCTTATCTTGTAGGTTCCACGAATCTTTTTCACCACCTTCTCCATCCGTACAAGGTGGTTATTCTTTGTGTGAAATTATTCCCGCACAGCCTTGCACGTGTAGAGTTCAAAGCTTCACTGGAGGTGTAATTATAGTGTTCGAAGCTTCCACTTTTTGCCCTTACTGACTTTTGTATAAATAATGCATATATGGTGTTCAAACATCATGATTCCCTCTAATTGTATTTGTTGTCACACTTGAACTCATAATTTTTTTTTTTGGTATTCCCAAGTGAATTGTTCTCGGTCATAATTTGTCCTTTTAAAATAAATTTCTATTTCCGCCCTTGCATATAGCAGATTGGAAGAGTCCCCAATAGCTCAAGTGTTAACTCCATTTCTTGGTATTGAATATTAGTGGTTATTTCCCTATATTTTTTCTGTTATATAGTGAAATTCTTTTAAGGTTTGGCCTGTTGGTTGGACCATAGTTATTTGTGATGACGTTGTAAAGGTTTCTAGTAGATTTTAAATCCTTTTTACTGATCCAAGAAAAAGTTTCTTTTTCAGTCTACATCTTTTTTTTTATTTTTCCCAATTATAAAGCTCTGTTAGGAGAGAAAAACAAAATCACATCGATAAGATCGTATCAAGCGCATAAGAGTCACGTTTTAATGGGGCTTAAAAAGGTAAGTGATATGCTATCTTGCTTACCCTCGTTTTGGAGAGTTTGATTATGAGACTGTTCAACGGCGCATTTAAATCATAAGATTATAACATTGAATAACATCTTCTTAATTAATTCTCACATTGCAAGCAATACAAAAAGTTGTTCTCGCACTTGAGTATTTCCTTGGTGCTTCATAAAGCAGATGCAAATGGAGAATCAACAACAAAGCTAATAAAATTCTAATTTTATTATTCATTAATATTCTTATTGTTGATTGCCCATGTAGCAATGGGATCAGCAGTAACAGTGACACACATGACGATTTCCTTCTGGTTTGCAAATGCCTCCCTTCTCGCAATCATTGATGCAATATACCCAGCATTTTCCACCACTTCGACCTTCCTCAGGATTATCATCTTTGCCAGGTTGACAGTTCCCAACCGAAGGGTGATTATTGCAGCATCTTGGAATAGCATCAGGTACTTCCTGGCAATCTGAATCCACAAAAATACTGAGATATTAGATTTAATTTCGAATTTTTTAGTGTTTAAGTATATAAAATTGTGATTTCAACCTGATTTGAGATTAGATATTAGATGTAACGGTTATACCATGTCATTATTGTCATGTAGTGTAACCGCTCTATGATAAACAAATAAAAGGGCAAGTAAACCTCACTTTTTGAATATGTAGTGATTACTATCCTTCATGTCAGAATGGTTATTTGAAAAATTGGAATTCATTTTGCGTATTTATTTTTTTATTATTGGGCGGTTACACCACACTACAATGCTAACATAATGTAACTGTTATAACCAATATTTACTTCTAATCTAGGGACCTAATCATTGCAACTATTAGCTTAAAAGTGAATTCTATCTAATACTAAAACTCATAACTAATCTAGACTACTAGTGATGAATAAGCTAGTAAGCTTCAAGGAAAATACTTCCATAATGAGTTAACTAAGAAAAATAAAAGTTTGTTGAAAATCTTATAGCGTAAAAATCTTATAGCATAAACATAGGGGAAAAAAAAGAAAAAAAAAAAAGAAACTTTTTTTCGTTCTCTAGCCTATTTTATCCACACCAAAGTCGGGATAACATGCCTTAAACTATATTAGCAACATCAGCTATTAGCAACATCAGCCATACGAATGTAACAATTTATTCATGACTACACACGATCGGTTGATTCGACACAAAACCGAGAGACAGATAATGAATTTTGAGTTTAGTTTTACCAAGTTTGGACAGCAAATATGTGGACCAATCAAATAATTAAGTCTACGGGATTCTAGTTAAACACACGTTGTACACGTCTCGAATTTGACACATCACAAACCTAGTTATACAAACTTACGAATGAATCGAGTATGAATTAATGAAATATGGATAATCAAGAATTAAATGCTTAGAAAGACGAAATGATACAACATATTGATAACCCTGATTATGTTTGCAAGACTAACAAGTTTTATCAAAAAAATCAAAATCTTAGGCAAACAATTGCAGACTGTAAACCACTCTAACAAACCTATGCAAAACATGAGCATTACGAACAGAAGTAATGGCACAAATTTTAATGCAGCCATGTTTCTTAGGAAGCAATTAGGATTTCTCTGGGGAAGACCCATAGAAGTTTGATATTTATAGATTGAATAGTGGGAGACTCATAAATTGATTTTTCAGTCTGAGAGAAACGATTCAATTGCATTCATTTTGCTTCCATCTATATAAAAGTATAAGTAAGTTCTAACTTACAAAGTATTGATTGCCCTTACTAATTATAAATTGGTTTTTCAGTCAAAGCAACTGACTAAGTATTGATTGCCCTTACTAAGTATAAATTGGTTTTTCAGTCAGAGAAACTAGTCACTGGCGTTGATTTTGCTTCCATCTGTATGAAAGTAAAAGTAATTTCTAACTTACTAAGTATGATTGCCCTTACCAAAAATAACTTGTAAGTATTGATTGCCCTTACAAATAGCATTGCTCTTACCAAAAATGAGTTATGCAACTTTCGGATTACATTTTCCATCATGTAGGGTAATTTCATACAGCAACACACCACAAAATGGTAACTTCGTTTAGACCTTTCATTTCATATAACTTTTCATATGTGGCATAGGGACTTATGTTTTGCGGGAAAAAGCATAGGTATACTTTTCGACAATGTCATGCCTGGAGGTCCAAAAAAGCTCTAGAGTTTATTCACTCTATTTTTTGTTCTGTTTTTTTTCGTTGAAGTAGCTTCATATGGTGGTAGCAAATACTTTACTACCCTTATTTATGATTTTATTAAAAAAAAAAAAATTGGTTTACTTTTTGAAAAATAACGCTGATGCCTGGGATACATCAAGTCTTTTAAGGCATATGTTGAAAAGTAGAGCGGGAAAAACAAAAGCTTTTCGGAAGTATAGAGGTTGGGAATATATCATTTCTGATGATTTTTCAAAGAAATACAGTATTAAACACCAATAGACAACTAAGCACACTCCCTGGCAGAGAAAAAATTAAATGCATTATGCATGCTTAAAATTTAAAAAAAAAAAAGCTTAAAAGTGTTTTGGCAAAAGTTATTGCTTGTGTTGTATATGTTTCGAACATATCCTCTGCCAAAGTGTTCAAGGAAAAACTCCCAATGGTATTTGGAAGGGTCAGAAGCTTGATATCGAGCATTTGAGTGTGTTTGGATGTATTACATATGCCCATTTTGTCAATTCAATTAGGAAGAAACTGATGAAAAAGTTCAAAAATGCATCTTTATTGGGTACAACTCCATTAAATAGGGTACAAGCTTTTAAATCCCATGGTAGATAATCCAGTATTATAAACACTTAACATTTCAATCCCTGCGAAATAGGCTCACCCAGGAGTTCACAGTGTGAACGTCACCTACTAGCTCAGTTAGGGGATTATGTGATTGACATTGATAATGATCTATCAGATAAAGAGTTGGTGATTTTTTTATATGGATATTGTGATTCACTAACTTTTAGTAATGCCTAGAGGGATAAACATTGAGTCAAAGTAATGGTTAAAGAAATTAAGACCACAAAAAAATTTAATATCTAAGAGCTTTCTTCCCTTCCGGCTGGAAAAAGGCCATTGAAGTCAAATGAGTGTACAAAACAAAATATAATCTAAATGGAAATGTGGACTGCTTTAAAACAAAGTTAGTAGGCAAGGGTTAGAAATAAAATCCAGTAGTTAACTATCCTGATATTTTTGCTATTAGTGGTAGACTTGATATTATTCATTTAATTATTTCTTCTACTGCTAATAATTCTTAAAAAGTATTTCAACGGAATGTGAAGAGGAAGTCCATGTTGAGTAGTTGGCATGTTCTGTGAATAAAGGGCCTACCGATACCCATCCTCCTATTACACTTGACGATGTAGTCTCCATGAGTGGTCCCTAATAGTTACGCTTATTTCCTAACTATCAATCTCCGAATTAGGTACTATTTCATAATACCACTTAAAGTTTAAAATTGAATATTTTAAGTATTTAACAAATTAAACCCGTTTGATAACCTAAAAATTATATTACTTAATATTTTAAGCACTTTTTAAAAATAAACTAAAATTTTAAGTAGAAGAAAGCACAATACTTTGTTATCCAAGGAATACCACAATGTAGATTTTTGATCAACTTCAAAGAATAAACTGATTTAATTCAGATTTTCTAGCATGTGTAACCTATATGGTTGGAAATATATACGAGTTAAACTTCTAACAAAAAAAATGGTACACAATTTGGACTTTCCAATAAGGAGTTATGATCAATTTGGTGAAAGGTAGTCTGCTTGATTGATGGTTCTACTATATTTGTCCAACACGAGTTTGGGTGTCTTTTGTCACAAATTCCATCTCATACCCATCTCGAATATAGATTATATGACTTGTATAAAGATCCATGCCTACCATCATTTACAAACCACAAGCCAAATTATCATCCGTCTCCTAGAATAGTCCAAAACGACATGATATAAAATTAGAATATCCATCCCAAAATATTCATCAATTCCTCAAAGCTAGCTAATCTATGAATTCGAACAAATAATTAATCCCTAAGTTAACTAAGCAACAAATCACACATATCTTATTAACATATAACTTCAAACAAATCAAAACCTAAAGTTTCTTCACCCTAAACTAATACTCTAGTGATAGTCCATAACTTACAGCTCCCACGTAAGACCTAAAGACTAGGCTTTGATACCAAACCTGTAACGTCCCAAAATCCCCCTTGGACGACATTACTATTTAAAATCATTCACACCATGAGAGCAACTAATAAGATCCATAATATATGCAATATCATTCAAAAGAATATGTCAAAACATGGTCATTACATCCAAAAGAATATGTCAAACTATAACAACTATGCCCCAAAAGAATATGGCAAACTATTATCTTGCAGTGGAATAAGGAAAATATTAACATGAACATTATCTCAAAATGAATTTTCTAGTCTAGAACATAAAAAGAACAATTTTAGACATCCCCCTCCAGATTCACCTGCCCATCCGTTTGAGCTTCCCAAGGTACCTGCTCGTCCACTTTGAGTTATTCCTCTAAATCAAAATCTGAAAATAATGTTGTTTGTAGAGGATAAGCACTAAGCTCTGTACAAAAATTCTCTCAAACTTGAACAAGGTTTCAAAGGCATATAAAATGATCGGTCTCATTTTACAAATATCATATATAGCTTTTGAAGGAAAACAGAGACATTTCAATGGATCTCAAGTTTACACAATAGCAATAATTAAATGAAAAAGTAAAACCAATTTTCAAAAATAACAACTCCAACAAGTTACTATTTTCACAATAACCAATTTCACAATAAACCAATTCCACCGTAAACAATAAATCATAACCAACTATTTGCACAATAAACAATAGCCCACAATGTCTCTTAGATATGATGTAAGATATTGAATGAATAAACACATCGAGAATATCCTGGCCCACACACACACCCAAATCCTCACAAGAATATACAACTTTAGGAAGGGCGTATACCAACGCATTGGCAGTGACGAATCCAACCCAAGAATAATATACTAACCCTCAGCCTTTGTACCACATGAGCGAATAGTGGTTTGGTCCTCGCAAGGCACTAACTCCACTACGAGTGGTTCAAAAATCAAATCCGCGCGGAGTAAGAAACACATATACCCACTCTACGATATCCGGTCAATGGCCACCCATGGTCATCCAAACATACACAAGAGATACAATACCCAACCAATTTCTCCAATTACAAGTAAAAATCTAAAATCTCCAAATTTCACATGTATTAATCCAATAGAATAATTTAAGAAAATATGCAAGAGATCATCAAAAATATCATTTTATTGTTCAATACCAAGCACTAAAGTTTTGAAATCAATAACAAAGGAAAAATCAAGAGAAAAATTCATTCATCTTGGAAACTAGGGTTTTAAGACAAGAAAAAGAGATTTAATGGCTATCCAACCATAGCTTTGTTTAAAACATGGTAATATTTGCAAGAATATCAAGAAATAATGATTTCATAGCACATATATAGGATTGAGAGTGAAAAAATACATATATATGCCCTAGCCTCAATGAACAAGAGTGGAATGAAACCCCTACCTTCTTCCTTAGTTTTGTGTGAAGAACTTGAGATTTTGATCCACTTCAATGTGAAAATTCCTCTTGATCTTGTGTTTCTCCCTTTCTTTCTTCCTTTCTAAGACACTCTAGGGTTAGAAACGTTGAAATGGTGTTAAGGGAGGCAGCCTTATTTATTTATAGGGTGAAAAAAGAGTTCAACCGACGTAAATCTGATATTCTGATTAGCTACTCACGTTTGAACGTCATTGGCATTCGAACGTCATTTGCTCCCAATACTTTTTTTTCCCATCAGACAAGTGTACTGGAACAAATTGTCGTTCGAATGGACTTTCACGTTCAAATGGTTGGCGTTCGAACGTCATTCCATTTTCAGCTGAAAGTCCAATGAAGTTTTGGACCATTTAGATGTCGATATGGGAAATTTTCTTGAACTACACTTTTGTAGCTCTTGAAGTGTATTTTCTACTATCCAAAACCCAGATCAATTGGAGTTAGGAGTAAAATGTTATGACTAAAATACTAAGGTAGTGCCAAATTCCTTTCTACTCAAATCCTCTCCAAAAATAGGTTTTTAACTCCAAAATACTTTCTAACTTCTAATACACCCCATATTACCTCTCCCAATGTTTTTCGACCTTCCGGATTCAATTGAGGCATTATTATGACCTAAAAACATTTAGAAACTTTCCTAATCTCCCTTCTTAAGCTTATACACCTTCGAAACTAAGTTTGACCCGAAAGTCAATTTTTTCGAAACTCAAATTTCATGATCAATCTCTCAACAATAATTCTAAGTTTCTAAAATAATTTTATTCATATAAGGAGAACTCTTAAGATAATAGTATCCTTATTTAAATTTTTTTTTAATACGGGATCTTACATTAGCATTGACATATAATTTCCTAGAAATACTATACTAGCCCCTAGCCTCAAACCTACATGGACAAATGGTGGTTGGCCCTCATAAGTAACCAAATCCCTTACGAGTGTTAGGCAGCCACCAAACCCTTCAAGATAGAAAAATTTCTAACACTCTACGATATGCATTCAAATGTTATCCACTTTCATCACACCCACATAATAACAACACTTTTTCACAAAAATCATGTATACCAAAATCCATAGTTTCACAATTCTAGAGTAGAAGAATAATCAAAGTAAAAGATGCAACAGATTGTAAAAAAGAAACATTCATGTTCACAATATTCAAAATCAAGGGTTTTAATCAAAATATATGATTTGTGAATGTAAACCATGTATTTTAAAATAAAATCTTGGGTTTCTTACAGAATCAATACATATCGAAAGACTCCACCTTGAATTTTTCCATCGAGATTTCTTTTCATGTCATCATATTGAATATCGATAATTAAGAACAGTGTGC